GGTGGATGTTTAGAGGCATGGCCTTTACACGGCACGATTCAAAAAGAGAAGGAAGAATCTGCCGGTGCCCTGCAAATTGTTCATTCAGAGCTGTTTGTGGGTCGTGACTATACACAAGTTGCTTGAGCTGAGAGGAGAGGCGGCGGAAGGGAATAGAGTGGTCAACATTGTCGAAGGCAGCAGAGAGGTCTAGGAGGATGCGGAGGCAGAGGGAACTGGTCACAGATGGACAAAATGTAATTTGTCACAATTGGAGGGGTTCATAGAGGGAGTGGTGGGAGAAGAAGAAACAAAGCTTGGAAGCAATGACTCATTCTAGGACCTTGGAAGGGAAAGGGAGTTTGGAGATCAAGCAGTGATTGGAGAGCAGGGATGAGTGCAGGAAAGGTTTTTTGAGGAGGGGGTGATGACAGCTGTTTTTAAGGGGGTAGGAACAGGAGAGATTTATGATATCTGTGAATAGAGGGGTAAGGAGGTGGAGATGGGAAGTAAGAAGAGGGGCAGGGATGGAGTTGAGGGAGCAGCTGGTGGGCTTCATTTTGGTCATGATGGTGGTGAGAAAGGAGGGGGAGACAGGGTCAAAGGTGTGGAGGGACGGTTGTGTAGGGGCTGGGTGTGAGAGAGAGATGGGGAGGGGGTAGAGTTGGGAGGGCATAGGCAGCTGGGCGGATCCCCTCGATTTTGGTTTCGAGGAAGTCCAGCATCTCCTCACAGTTGGAATAGAAGGACGATTTAGGGGAGGTGAGGGTGGAGCAGTAGGTTTTAATGTGCCAATGGACCGTCAGATTGGGTTTGAGCCAGATGTGTGCAACGGCATGCAACCTGGCCTTGAGGGAGCGGAGATGAGGCTGGTGTACCAGGATGAATTGCGTGAATAGGAGGCATTCGGGAGGTGAGGGGGCAAGAGCATCAAGTGTGGTGGAGAGGGAGACGTGGAGTAGAGTAACCGAGGAGGGAGGAAGCCCAGAGGGACACAAGTTCAGATGGCTCCAGGGCAGTGGGGCTGGAGGATTTATTTTCCAGGGGTAGTAGGAGATGAATGTGGGTTGGGTGGCAGAAAGGGAGATGAAGTAGTAGTCCAAGATGGCTTTGTTAGTGATAGTAATGTCTGAGACACTGACTCCCCGGGTAATCACCAGATCAGAAGGAAGCAAAATATAATATTTTAGAATATAACCGAGTTTATAACATTTTTCCAGTAACTGTATTGCAGATATTAGAGGCCTGCAATTCTCTGGGTCTTAGCCTTAAGTTTGTATTAAAATTTAAGATTTTGCAGCATTTTGGAAAAATCTTATATTCATGCTTTGGCATCTTGTTTTGCTTTTTTTTTAAAAAATCTTTTAAAGAAAGACTTATTTTGGCTGATTTGGCTACCGTAACCTGCAATTGTATTCAAGTGTCTTGTTCCCACTATTAATTGAGGACAGTGTTTGGCTTATAAAGTACCTTTTGTGTAGGCGCTCTAAATTGTGAGTGGATTTTGGGGAGTCCACACACCTCAGTACAGCAGTTAAATTCCGATCCTGGTGGCAGCTATACAATCCCAAACCATGCATTGCGACCTCCTGTCTCAGTTTTCCTTAATGGCGAGTGTTAGTGGAGTCTGGAGACAGTGACAGGCTGACCCTCACTGCTGCTGGGAACCATCCTCTCAGTAACTGAGCTCAATTAGAATTTTTTTTTTTAAAACACACTAGACATGATGGCACGTGTAAATTAAGTTTCAGAGTACAATTTCATTTAACTTCTTTCAAATCACAGTGTTTAAAAAGCAGAATATTTTTAAATGCCTTTTAAATTGGATATTGCCATTTTAACTGGAAGGGATCAAGGCAGTTATAGTACTGGGAAAATATCCAGTACTTTACCTCAACTTCTGTTACTAATAGCCAAGAATATTTGACATTTCCCAGCACATAATGGCAATAATAGGTTCTTTTAAAATGCATTTAAATGTTTCTGCGTTAATCACTGGCACCCTGAGGTACAAGGGAGTTTCGAAAAATGTGAATTATAACAGTCATTAACAACTGGCTTTGGACACAAAAAATAATAAATGGGACCATAATTTAGAACTGCTTTTAACATAAAATCTTCTTGATGCTTTTAACGACATGACAATGTTCCACATTAGGACTTCAAAGAAATGGCTTTCAGCTTATTCTATAGAAAGTTTAGTTTGAAAGTTGGATGAAAAGGCTGAGACATTAATGTCAGCTTCAGAATAAAAGGAGGGCCCATGGGATCAGCAAAGCTGCTTTTCTCATCATCAATAAAGTGGATTGCTAAATGCAAAGTAAGAGATAAAGCAAATCTCTTGCAGTTATACTTATTAATCTGGTAATAGACCTTTTTTGATTAATAGCCTCCTCTCATATATAACATAGTGTTTTAATTTCTGCTCATCAGGCTCTCTTTGTTAAAACCTTTGTGCACTTGCATTTCTGGTATTTAGACAAAATCTTGATGGATGGAAGGAAGTGAGTGTCTCATTATATGTAAATGCAATTGTTAAATCTAAATGTTGTATCTTTGTACTATTTATTTTAATAGAATACTACGCTTTCAGTTTTGCTATGTCTCTCACTCCACCTCCTTCACCCAATATCAGTTTCTTTAATCCTTTATTTGGCATTTGACAGCTATGAGAACATTTTTCAAATGCAAGGCATATAAAAGGCAACCATATGCAGAATTAATTCCTCCCTTTCCGAATTTCGTTTTTCATTACTTTGCATTTTACAGTACAGAATACTTTATTTTAACAAGATTTCACAATATTAAAGGCAATTTAAATGATTGGCTTTAATCTAGATAGATAGATAGATAGATAGATAGATAGATAGATAGATAGATAGATAGATAGATAGATAGATAGATAGATAGATAGATAGATAGATAGATAGATAGATAGATAGATAGATAGATAGATAGATAGATAGATAGATAGATAGATAGATAGATAGATAGGTTTCTATGTGATTAAAGAGTATTGGCGTTGGAGTTTGAGGCGGTTACAGCCATTGTAAACTATAATAACACGTTTCACAAAACTCCACCATTCTGGACTAGTAAACACCAACATAAAATAAGCCTATATAGAGATATAAATTGGACAGTTTCCTGAGGTGTAGCTGTTGTGTGGTTCTTTTTGAAATACAGTGGCTTTATGTTGCTAAAAATCAAAAGGCAAAATACTGCAGATGCTGAAAATCTGAAATAAAAACAGAAGTCTCTGGGAAGACTCAGCGGGTCAGGGGGGCATCTCTGGAGAGAGGAAAGTGAATGGGTTAATGCACTTTCCTCTCTCCATAGATGTTGCCTGACCCGCTGAGTCTTCTCAGAGACTTCTGTCTTTATTTATATTGTCAATTGTATGAGGTACAGTGGGCAGATGGACCTGAGAACTGCATCAATGACCTGTATTTAGTATTTTATGTATTCATTTAAATACAAGGGTCCAGCAAAAGCATTGATAGGGAAGATCTCACAGCTCCAGCATGTTAAATGGAAAATTGTTTTATTAAGTTCAAGTGACAGTCTAACTTTGTTCACTTGTGTGGTTCCTCTGGTGGGAGACTTGATGTCACCTGGGGAGTATTTATCTGAAAGTTATTAAATCGTGTTTGACTGTTCAGTGGCTTTTCTCAATCCTTCATAAGGTTGAGTATTCTGCTCATGTTCCCACGTACAAAGATACAGAGACGCTGTACAGAGATACAGACGAACACATCTGTGTTGGTTTCATTTAAAAAGAAAATAATCTCCAGTTGACAGATTGATAGATGGATATTAGTTATCAGTAACGTAAAGTAATAAAGATATATTTTTTTAAAACACCGTCGACCGAAAATTAAAATCCCTCATTAGTATTTAAACACATTATTTAGAGATATATTGGGTTGAGAATCCGAATTAGAAAGTCTATTTTTTTTAAAAAAAGTAAAGGCGCATTCATTATTCGATATAATTTGCATTTTTTAGAAATGCAAGATTGGTTTAAAATTGAGATTCACTTTAATGTCAATGGGGTACCGTATTCTCAGCCATTCCAATGCAAACCCAAACCGACTCGTTGATAAATGCCCAAAGTTATCGAAATCAGCTGTCAGGAAAACAAACTAATCCCTGAACCAGAAAGCAATCCTCAGTGAATCTGGGCTTTGCAATCTGGTATTCAGCATCCTGATACAGTGCTGCTGGACAACTGGCTTCTCTGTGTATTTTATTCCCCCACTCGGTCTCCAATAGAAAACAAAACAAAAAAAAAACGATATTTCCTAAGAGGAAACATCTCACAGAGATGTTCTAACCAGGAGTGACCGATCACTGATCACTGGTCAGTGCAACAGCACATTAAGAAAAATGGGGAAAGGGATGGGAATGAGAAAACGACATCCATGAAGAGATAGCAGTTGCATTATTTGTAGATTAATCTGCTGTACACTTACGTTACTGCTGAATCATATCTATTATCAAGTATCAGTTAGAGATTAGTTTCTTTTGAATGAAACGAACACGAATGTGTTTCTCTGTACAAAAGAGCCGTGACCTACAACTCGTCAATTTAGTGCTTAAAGTGTTTTAATAAGAGGACAGCAGATTAATCTACAAACAGCGAGAATCCTTTTAATAGACAGTATTTAACTAACAGTCAAGGCTCACAATTTGCCTCCCATCCATACCCAGCCCTGCCAATCAATAGGAGAGAATCAGCAATCTTACCATTTCATGATCGCTCAATATTAATGATATATTCAGACTGGGATTTTCCAGGACTCACTGTTATCACTAACGTTGGCATTAAACTGTCAGCCCAGAGAAACTCTCAATATATTTCAGCGTGTGGACTGTGCAGTGCTATATGTCTGTGCAAGTCAGGAGCATCAATCGGATTTTCTAAAGAAAACAGACTTTTATTTACACACTTTCGTAAGTACAAATTAATAAGTGTACAGCGTTTGTTATATACATTATTTTACCATAAAGGAAGGTCTTAAATGGTGGATTTATATGTGAATCCATACATTTAGAAAAAAAAAATCTCAGTCGCATGCTTCCTGTACATCACGGGGTCTGTCCCTCACACACAGGTCACCAATAAGTGTCTTCAATGGATCGTTCCAATCCACTTGGAAAATAAGAAGGGAAACAAACAACGAAAATATGTTTCGATAACGAACTGCGAGAGAAAACGGGAAATAAAGGGCGTTTTTAAGTTAAATTTCTAAAAGGAATAAATACAACTTGTGTAGGTCCACGTCCTCACTGGATTCACCGCCCCAGGTCTCACCCAGTGTGTGTGTGTGTGTGTGTGTGTGTGATCTGAATGGCTCATCAGCCGACACAAAGTCAGCTGTATTTCGGGGTATTTGGGTGTGTTTAGTATGTGTGTGTGTGTGTGTGTGTGTGTGTGTATGTTGGGGGGGGACTGTCAGTAGAGTCAGTAGGGTGATGGAAAAGGAGGCTGGTTATTTGGGAAAGCTGTAATCCCAGACAGTCACAGTCCATCTCACACACACACCCATCCTCTCCCACCTACAGTTTAGCATGTATTGGGCTCCCCTCCTTCACCCCCCCCCCATCCCACCCCCCCCCCCCCCCCCCCCCCCCCCCCCCCCCCCTCCTCCCCATCCACGAATATGGGTTTTGTGCAGTGAATGCAACCAGCATTTCACAAGAAAGAAAAATGTTTTAAATTCTTTCCTGAGTTTTTTTTTGTTGACAAAAAAATTACATGGAACACAAACGGCCAATGATTCCCACTCGGTGTCCAATGTGTTGGAACCTGAAGCCCTGACCGTGGAGCCGCTGATGCAGATACACCTCCAGACAGACCCCACCCCCCAAAATAATACAATATATTTATATGAGACATTCCGCGTTGGTGATTTCTCCTTTGCATTGGGCTCTGGATATCCTGTAAATGCGCATCTTCTGTCCACACCACGAAGGCGCTGGTTCAAGCAGCTTTAATCCGGTGGTGCTCGTCCTGTGGCCAGGGATTTCTGTCTTAGGATTGTTTAATATATTATTAAAAAAAGAAAGAAAAATTTTGGAGAGTTCTGGTGCATTCGGTCGGTGGCCGACCCCCCCCCCCCCCCCCCCACCCACCCACCCCCCGGGCTCATACTAACGAGGTGACGGTTGTAATCTTGGAGCCATCCTCTGCCCAGGGCTGCAGGTTCTGCAGTGCGTACAGGGAAGAGTTGTGCAGACACAGGGGGTCGGGCTGGATGGATTCGCTTAAGGATTTCTGAAAAGCATCGTGCTGCAATTGCAGCATCAATCTGTTGGCCTGCTGTCTCTCTGCTTCTCTCTCCTCTGCAGTCTGTCGCCTGCACCCAAAGGAAGAAACAACAAGCGTTAGAGAGAGAGAGAGAGAGAGGGAGAGAGAGAGAGAAAGAGAGCGAGAGAGAGAGAGAGGGAGACTCCGTTATTCTGGTCGTTCAGCCCTGAGTGTTATTAATAACTATTCTCTTCTATTGCTCCATGACTTATAAGGTCCGGCGTGGGTTGTCACTCATGATTCCTGGAGCTCAGTGGTGGGAGCACTCGCCTCGCAAAGGGAGAGGACCTGAGGTCCACTCCCAGGGCAAGTTTGGCAAGTGTCCTCACTCCACTCCACTCCACTCCACACGCCCCTGTAATGGGGGGGGGGGTCGCTTTTCAGGGGGTATTAATCCCTTCCAAAAAAATAACAACAGCAATGTGGTGGCTCAATCCATGACTGTGTGTGGGAGGGACACTGCTGTGCACAATTGGCTGCCGAGTTTTTGCCCACAATATACAGTTCATTCACTTTCCAGTGTATTCCAGTGAAGCACTTTGAGACGTCTATGTAAAGCACTATATCGAATGCAAGGATTGTTATTAAAGGGACTTATTCTTCCACTGCAATCCCAGAACAGGTAACCCTCTTAGGCAGCCTAACTAATTCTAAATAAATGATAACGTCGAACAAGTTTAAATCCACTTTTCCACCGGATATTAGCAGGATCTTTAATCAAGATTGAAGGCCCAAATCATGATGGAAACCAATCAATCTCACTTCTTCCCATTGTATAGAATCCCCCCATCCTCCAGCAAAAAGGTGTATTCGTTGATTTACTTCCCAACAATTCTGCGCATTTAATTCATCAGGTGTAGATTTTCACAGTAGCTCTAAGCAGAAAAAAAAATATATGCGTGTTATAATGATTTCTCTTTAAGCGTCTAATTTATTTTTCAGCCAGTGAAGTGGGGGAAGAAAAAAGAATGATCAATTTACTTGAGTAGCACAAATATGAGGGAGGATGGGAAAGGGCTGGAAAATTAAATTAATGATGAAGAGATAGTAGGCAACAGAGAGAGCAGGGCAAGGACAGTGGGTCCAATAGCCTTTATGTTGAAAATTGCTATACTTCTATATATATATGTGTGTACAAGGGGGTAGGGAAAGGCTGGGAAAGGTGCTTAGAGAAGCCAATAAACAGATTTCAGCAGTCAAACAAAAGATGTTGAGGCCCCTTCCGCCTGTTCAGGTGGACATTAAAGATCCCAATAGCACTGTTCCAAAAGAGAAGGGAGTTGCTTTCGATGTCTTGGACAATACATCTCCCAAATAAAATGGATCATTCGCTGATTGGATGTTTGTGGGACACTACTGTGCTTAACCGACTGCCGCGCTTCCCCACACAAAATACACAGTCACTCCACTTCACGGTGCATCTTGTGAGGCACTTCGAGACGCCTCGACAACGTGATCAGGCGCTATATCAAATGCAAGGATGATTATTTATGACATGACACATCCTGTGTCGACGTCGTGTGTTCGTTACATTGATATGAAAAATAAAAGGCAGTACTAAGACTTGTGGCTGCGTGAATTAATGTGGATTTAATTTGGAAATTGTGCAGAGGGAAATCTATTTCCCTGCAGAAAAGGGGCTGTTTTGGAAGGCAATGGTTTTCACCAGGAACGTGTTCAAGTGAATGAGAGAACAGTTCGGTATATTATTCTTCCTCCAGTGAAACAGAATTCAAAATGAAAAGTCAGATGTGTACTGAAGTCTATTTATCGCCCAAGTGCCGTATTGACACAATCCTGTAACTGCACCAGCGACTTCCAACATGTCCCATTTGTGACACACAGACTGACTCTCGTGTGTGTAAAAAAAAATACTTTGAATCTGGAATCGAGTAAAGTCGTAATTCAAATCGTTTCAACCGAATTGATGTACTTTTTGGTCATTTTATTATTGTGGCCTAATTGGGCATCTTGTGTGGGCTGCACACGTTTAATTCACTAGGATGTAGATTTTCACAGTGGCTCTGTGTGGAAATGATAAATGAAAATGTATTTGTGTTATAATAATAGGTTACACGGATCAAGCAAAGCCCTGTAACAAACTTGCACAGTCTCTGAGTGTCCCCCTCCCTCCCTCCTCACTCCAACACCACCACTGTCAGGTCGGAGGCTATGCTATGACCAGTGGCTGAGAACTGGGACCAGGGAACACATCCTGGAAAATGTGCCATTTATTTTACTGATTCGGAAATCACAGACACACAGCGACCTGGTCCTTCCACTTGGCCCATCGCCTACATTCTGGCTGTTTATTAGACGGCCTCTTCGGGATTTAAACTGTGAATGTATTGAAACATAAATAAATACCACAAACAATTCCTATATATGTTGCATTTCACGTTTGCGTGAACGTTAAGGGTTTCAGGTGTGGTCCCGCAGTGCCCGAAATATCTAGAGATAATTATTCTGATAAACTATTTAATTCGTGAGCCCAAAGATACTCTCGGAAACCTGTTTAACCACAGGTTACACTGACTAAACCCCTAGAAAAACGCTCCCCAACCACCCCGACAGCCTCTGGGTGCGGGTAACACCAATAAGCTTTGTCTGGCACAATTACAATGATTTTAACACAACATTCACAAAAATTATAACCAACGGATGTGGTTCATGTTTGTTATTTGCGTTGGAGCTGTTGGGAATGGGGTGGCTCTGGCTGGTTTAATGCTGGTCTCACAATTTTGCTCACAATCTTTCAAGTATCGCTTTACACCTTTCAACCTTTGACAATGCAACTCGGCTTTTATCCTTTTCCAAGACCATTTTATTAAAAAAAAAATTTTTTAAAAAGGCGTAGTAGCATTTGCAATGGCAGTGTTGTGTTACAACAGCTCCACTTGCCAGCAGGACAACGTCGAGAGGCAACACCTCGAGCAATAACCTTTTGTTTATCCCGAACCACCAGTCACAGTATCTGTCTCCCTGTCCAAAGACAACAGGAGGAACGGACATGGGTTCAAGTCTCGCTGTGGAAGTGATTGCTAAATAAATGAAAGAGATCTCCAATGCTCTGCCCCGTTGCTCTGCGCCACTGATACAACAATAGACGGCAAACACTGAACCCGGGGCAGCGATTGCTGAACACGGAGAAGAAAACCTTTTTGCGGAAATATGGGAACAACGAATACGGCTAAATTTGGGAATCTCCGAATCGTGTTCAGGTAACACGTCGGGTTATCTGCTCACCATAAAGGCTGATTGTATATGTCGGACAATATCAGCCGCTAATCGTTTAAACTCGCCCCTGGCACACAGTAATGCCCTCTGGTGCGAGAGAGATCCCCCCACCCCCCCACCCCACCCCCCACCCACCCCCCCTAACTGATTAAGTTAGAGACTGAACCTTTTCAAAAGCGATCTGTTAACCAATCCGCCCTCGCAAACCCCACACACGTACTTCTTATCGTGTGTCCTCTACATTGTAATGTATTGGCATTAAAATCTCTGCAGGTAAAATAATCTGCTGATAATGCACATCGTGAATAAGACACACACACACACATACACACAGTCACCAGATCAAATGCACCAAACACACAGGGTGACGAGAACCTTTACCACAGTTTTCTCATTTGCAAGATATTAAAATATTTTATGTGTGTTGTAAAATATGTGTGTATGTTAAATATATATTGTCTGTATCTGTACAGTACGTGAATTATATATCGTCTATACGTGGAATATATTGTTTTTGAGTATATTATGTGAAATATATAGCTATGATAGAAATGTATTCGTGCAAATATGTAATTTCCATATCCTTATGTAAATTGCGTGAATTATACCCATGTACCGCTACAAAAATAAATTCATTTCGGCTATAAATATTTACATATAATTAAAGTAATCCATTGCCCACTGTTCTTTCTTATAGATGCATTCTGTGGGAAAAAAATATTTGCTCATTGTCAAATCGGAAATAAAATGCTTTAAATTTTTTTTCCGTTGTGTGTATATATATATATAACTACATATAATATATAATATACATATGATATATATATAACTACACATAATCTGTATATATTGTTCAGGGTGACCAAAAGTCGTGATACCATGACAATGACTAATAAATCTGGAAGAAATGATTTTTTTTAGATAATAGGGTGGCTGAAAAATAAGATTTTTTGGATCTCTCTGTATATTATTCTGCTCGGACTTTGTTCGGGTAAGACACGGGTTAAATTGTCTGCATTGTGGCAGTCTCCTCCGAGCCACACACACAACAAAATCCAATCCTGTCCCGAGTTAAGGTTTAAACTGCACGTTTACATCTCGTTCAGCACTTTTACGAAAAAAAAACGCCTGTTACATCCAAACTGGAGAGAGGCATCAAAAGTACATTTCCAGGTCACAAATTGCCGTGGATCAGATTCAAAATGTCAAACACAAGATCAGAAAAGAAAGGGTTTATTTAGATTGTGGTGCACACACACACACACACATACACACATACATACACACATACATACACACACAAATACACACACACACATACATACACACACACACATACATACACACACACACATACAGACACACACAAATACACACACACACATACATACACACATACATACACACACATACATACACACACATACACACACACACACATACATACACACACACATATACACACACACACACACATACACACACACACACACACACATACACACACACACACACACACACACACACTGAGCTGCAGTAACAGATTACTCAATAAAGCCGCCGCCGCCGCCGGAGTGATGTTATTACATGCGCTCTCATCTTGTCCAGAATCTATTACCCCTGACAGACCAGTGTAAGCGGGTCATTCCCCACTAACGAGTCATTAATGTCAATCCAGCATGCACAAGTAGCTCTATATGTCTAAATAGATTCTCCTTCTGCAATAAAAAAAATATCTGTTTGTGAATTATATTTTCGCAGCTCTCTCTATCCATTGCAGTCTTTAAGCATTAAGAGTTGCGCCTCTCCTGGTGCCTCTGTGGCCCACTGTTCAGATTTACTCCCCAAACACGAGAGCTCCACAGAAATCACTTGCACACTTATAGTGATGCATTTTAACCACGAGACAGTTGTTGTACATTTCGTTCATAACAAAAAAAAATTTACGCACAGATACAGACTGAATTCTGTTGGTAAGAACTGTGGTACATGTACACGCGTGTGTCAGGGAGGGTTTATAAAGATGGGGAGGACCCCTGGGCCGCCCTTCTCACACAATGAGGGGTATCGTCCTTCACGACTGATAAGTTATAATGGTGTCAATCGTTTCTTTCATTCACATTAAATTATTGGAGTGAAATTCTCGGGAAAGTGCGAGTTTGGTTCGTGTGTCCCGACCCTAAGAGAATATAGGCGTCTAATATCCACACAGACACACACACACACACACACACACTCCTATTTCAAAGCAGCGACAATTAATTGTGTATAACAGTCAAATAAGCGATCATTACTTGTGAAAAGTTAATTAAAACGGAGTTGGGGTGTAAACGCTGAGTTAGTGGCAGCGCCGCCCGACTCAATAATTAAATAAAAGTAAAATGGCACAAACCAAAAAAGAAACAAATAAAGTGCAGAATAACCCAAAACAGAGTCAGTGCGTGTGGTCAGTGTGACAGACAGTCAGACACACGGGGACAGGAGGCGACACTCAAACACCTTCACCGAAACCCCATCACCACCGGTTACATTTATCTCACTCTCATCGCTCTCTCGCTCTTTCTCTCCTCCCTTCTCCCTCTTCTCACTCTCCTTTCTTCCCTTCTCCATTTTTTAGATATCTTTTCTCTCTCCTCCCTTTTTCTCCTCTCTTCTCTTCTATTCCACGCTCTCTTCTCCGTTGCCTCCCTCTCTTTCTCTCTCTCTTTCTCTCCCTCATTCTCTCACTCTCCCCGTTTCTCAACGAAGCTTTTATTTCCCCACAAGAAACTAAAACACATCATCATCACGGGTTAGGAACCCAACTAACTCCACATTCAGGGGCCGGGAATGACCTTCCCAGCGATGCCTCGCAGCACAATAACAATAACACATTAGAAGTTACTCCATTAAGGAAATAATGTTATTTTACATTTAACCTCAGCAGTTGCCTCTCTGCCAAAGGCTATTTTTGTTGCTGTATCAGAAACACGTACACTCCAGGACACTGAGTGGGACACACACACTTCAGACCTTTGAGTCCTACTTTTCTAAATACAATTACATTCCGAGTGGCTAAATATTTGGAAGAAATCTCAGGCTTTAAGTCTTTCTTAGAAGGTAAACTATAAAGCGTGTTTTACGTGTTATTATTTTATTTTTATTATTATTATTATATAGTCATTGCATTTGATATAGCGCCTTCATCACATCTTCGAGACGTCTCAAAGCGCTTCACAGAATATAATGTAAAGTGAATTGACTGTATGTTTTGTGGGCGAAACGCGGCAGCCGATTGCGCACAGCAGCGTCCCCACAAACAGTCGTGGATTGAGTGACCAAATTAATATTATTATTATTATTACAGTGATACACTGAAGTGCGCTGTGCTCACCTCCACTTGGTCCTCCTGTTCTGGAACCAGGTCTTCACCTGAGCGTCTGTCATTTTGAGGGACTTGGCCAGGGCGGCCCTCTCGGCCGACGCCAGGTATTTCTGACGGTGAAACCTTTTCTCCAACTCGCAGATCTGGATACGGGTGAAGGAGGTACGAGGTTTCTTCCTCTTGGGAGGGGTTCTGTTCTGGTACGGGTGCCCGATCCTCCTGGTCACTGTGAACGGCGTGAGAGCCGCTTCATAGGGGAAACACACAACAGAGCAAAGTCAACCACTGCTGGTCACCACTGTAAAACCACCCTTATCACAGACAGACCATTTTAACACCGTAGGAAACTCTTCAGCCACCAAATCTGTGCCAGGACTACAGCAATGTTTTAAAAAATATAAACACACACATATATACATAAGGAAATAATTTGTTTGGTTTAATACTGAAACATACTTGTGTTATTATGACCTGGAGATTATGGATAAAACTATCACACGAGAACGGCCTAAGCAGGGTGACAGACACCCACCCACATACCCACACACACACCACACACACACACCCACACACACACACCCACACACACACACACAGTCGCTGGCTTCACAGGTTAGCGGTGACTCAAACTGACAACAAGTTTTGAGCATCTCACACTCACTTTAAATGAAAGGCAATATTTATTATATTTTTATTGTGACATTTCAGGTGCATTTCGTTTGAAATTTCTGCTACTTGTCAGCGGGAGAAGCGTTTGTACATGTATTTGGGAAGTGACTGGGTGTTTATAAACGCCCAGGTCTGACTCTCAGCCCAGAGCCCCAGTGCCAGGGGCACAGGGACAGGATATCTGTAACCCACTCAGTTACAGGGGGTATTTATTTACCGATGATACAATGACAGCTCTGACCAGGGCTCTGCAGCACTCACAGTTTGCTGGTCACTGTGGTCAGTTTAAATTTGCTTTTTAGACAGTTTTTATTCACTTATGATACAACTCACTGAGACACTTGGTGGCATTCACCGAGAGCAGGTGACTGAGTGACTGTGTCTCAGTTTAGGCGGAACAAGGACAAGGCTGGAGTGAAGCTACAAGTGGAGTCGGACCAGATCAGGGCTATAAGGACAGAGGATTCTCACCTGATGGGGCACATTTAACGCACCTGAAAGCTCCTTCTCGTGTGCAATTAGCTGGCCCATGATTATACTACACAAAAGGCCGCATTATTGAACCACATTATCGTCGATTTCTGCAAAATCGCCCCAAATTAAATCGAGTGCCGGCGATTTTTGTTTGTTAGAAAACACGAATACGTTGTTTTTTAACTGCATCGATATACTGATGCACTATATCACGTTACTGGGGTTATTTTAAACGTCTTTTGTGTGTGTGTGTGTGTGTAAAAAAAAAGAAAGCTCGCTTTGTCTAGAATGTAAAACATCCGCTCAGAAAATAATCAAAACATGAGAAAAAGAATAATCTGAAAAAGGTGAATGGCAGATCGGTTAGTTTTATTGCTGGATGTTCTTTTCCGCCCATTCTGAGAGCAATTGAAACAGTTGGGGGTTCCCTCATGTCAGGCTCAGAAACATTATATTTCGGGCAATGCGATCTTATATTTGTAACCTTATTTTAGAAATAATTAAAAGGAAATTCCTTTCCTGTATTCCAGGAAAAAAATCACAGGCAACAAAGTGGGAACCTCACCGGGTAACTAACACCTGTCAGCTTTTCCAATTAAAAAAAAAAGAAACTATAAACTGCAGAACGTGACTGCGAAGTTGCAGAAAACAGCGGGGAAAACACACATTTATTCTACTTATCTCTGCGCGATAATTACAGAGAAAGAACAAAAAAACGTCGAATTGTCGCGGTTCTAATTGTGCCAGAAATTACATTACAGGAAACACAATATTTAAACACTTGTTAATTCGGACTCGAGCTCTTTCTTCTACATATGCATATATCGTGTAAGATAGATAGATAGATAGATAGATAGATAGATAGATAGATAGATAGATAGATAGATAGATAGATAGATAGATAGATAGATAGATAGATAGATAGATAGATAGATAGATAGATAGATAGATAGATAGATAGATAGATAGATAGATAGATAGATAGATAGATAGATAGATAGATAGATAGATAGATAGATAGATAGATAGATAGATAGATAGATAGATAGATAGATAGATAGATAGATAGATAGATAGATAGATAGATAGATAGATAGATAGATAGATAGATAGATAGATAGATAGATAGATAGATAGATAGATAGATAGATAGATAGATAGATAGATAGATAGATAGATAGATAGATTTCGTGTAAAAAATCATTTGGAAAAAAAAGTCTAGCCGTTACATTGGTTTATTTTATATCGATAACAACTGCAATAATAAAATCATGTGAACTGTGGGCCCGTGAGTGCTGTGTCCGGGGCTCGGTCCCACCCTCCGCTCTGTACCTGCCAGTCTGTCCTTGGCAAAGCGCCGACTGCTCTCCATCCAGGGGAAGTTGAGGCTGTTGAGTCCGGCCACACTGCCGATGCTGGGCATGGCTGGCATGGTGGGCATGCCGCTGCCCACTGGGCCGTGGGGAATGGGTCGGTGTGCGGGGACCCTGATCACACCAGCCGACGCCAGGCCGTTCACATTCATACTCAGGTTAACACTGTAAGATCCGGGCAGACCGGTCGGGTCCTCGTATGCCCCAATACCCGGGAAGGCGGATGCGAGAGAAGAGTATGTGCCGTTGATGGGACTCCCCAAGTAGCCAGGCTCTGATATCCTGCTGCTGGGCTGGAGACAGCTCTCCTGGTCGGAACTACTCAAAATCTGATCGATCCCGAAGCTGATGGGTTCGTGCTGAGGCTGTGTCTGAGTGCTCCCGGGCTGATCCATGCTCGACACACAAGGCGACTTTGGTGCTTTTTTTTTTGTCAAAACAAAAACCTTTCTCCTGGTGCTACGAGCTGGACCTTGGACAAAGCGCCTTGCCACTAAGACACATCCATAAGCCGGACTTGGGTCAGGTTGGGCAGTGCTGATGGGCAACGAGAGGAAGCTTCATCACTTTGAGCCCAGTCCCGCACAGCCCCAAGTCGCCTTCCTCCAAACCAGCTCCCAACCGGCTCAGCCCACACCGTGATTGGCCGGCGCCTGGCAAATCCACAGCAAAGGAGGGTTTAAGGGACCGTGTGGATTTGTCAGGATTTTTCAAACAAAAAGAAATAATTCGATGCCAGCCCCTTAAAACAGCAAAAAAAAAACACCACACACACTACATTCAACTATTATTTAACACAGCGCATAAATATAAGAGGTAAAAAAAAAACCCATCAGTGCAGAGGGAATCATTGGTTTTACAACGTAGAGGTTTAAACTCAATGCGCCTCATCTCTGTGGTGTGTTGCCCCCTTAATAGCTTTTTTTTAATCGAAAATTAAAGCTCCGAAAGGCAGCATTGCCCGAACTACACTTTCTTTAAATTCAGATATAAGCGAAATTTAAATATAAAAAAAAAACAGCACTCGGCTTCGTAATTGTTATTGTGGTTAATTTCTTAAACGTTAGTACCAGAGTTGCAATTACAGGCAGGATCACAGGTCAGTTTTATATATCCAAAGGTCTCTTTCTAATTTGTTTTTTTTTTGTATAACCGATCTCCAGAAGAAACGTAACACCGTGTGTTTAGTAAGTGCCTCGCCATGAAATTCAATCGAAAGTAATTCAGACGGATGGTTCGTTCCTCATCTTTAATTCTAATCAGCTTTAGATGGAACTCAGAGAGATAAATAGACGGAATACAGTTCTGCACATTAAAACATCGCCATCACACACATTTCTGGGTCTGGAAACTGATTTATTCTGTGTGTGTGTGTTTTTTTTTGGAGGGGGGGACCAAAAAAATGGTTTATTAAAGACATACCGGAATTTGGCAACACTCCCTAGCGACCCCCAATATGAAGTATAAGTGTTAAAAATCAAATAAGGTTAGCCTGCAATCGTTTAGCCGTACATTTACTTAGCTCTTTATAAAGGAAAATGAAAAGAGGGAATACAATTTTGCATTAATAAAATCATCATTTTATCAGCATGTGTTAGACCCATTCAGTGATTTTATAAAAAAACAATAACGAGATACAGGTTATTAGTTTCTCAGAAGCTTCCTATTCAATTACACAAACATGCTGAATAATTTAAATGACGGCAATAAAACAGCACAAAACAGGCCCTGCTTCAAAAGCCATCTCTGTAATGTGGTGATTGCTGGGGCTTGGTTGGCTAAGTGGCAGAAATGTCAGGACTTTTAAAGCCACGAAGTGTGATATTCCCAATCACTCGGAAAGAAAACACTAAAGCAAATAACTGAGATTCGGTACTTTAAGGAAATCCCCAGAAATATGCACATGTGGGCGAAAGCCCCTTGTATTCTGGCAGGAATTGCTCAGTAACTCCCCCTTCACATATAACGTTAGTTTAGACATTTAATTCGGATTTTTCTCTCCAGAATTTGATGTGTTATATGCAGAAAATCCACATCCACCATCAGAAAGATGTGTGGTATTTTCTCCCCAGATGATCAGAGCTGCTCGTTCCGGCTCTAACTAACCTCACAATCTACGATTAAACACCAGAGTTTAATCTTGTTAAAGAAGAAGGCACTAAAGCTTCCGTTTCTAGACGAAATTAACGCATTGTGCATCCATACTCATTTATTTCATCAATATTATTTAAAAACTACTGTATTCATACGTATTGTAGCTATTGTGATTTAAACCTGCATTTTTAAGCATGAAACATAACACCCTAAGGACATCAATCCAGGCCTCTGTATACTGTAACTCCAGGTGTTACAGACACAATATTCAGCAATATTTAGGGAGGATGATAACAAATTGTAGGGAGGTTTATTTCTACACCAACCGACATACATCAGGTCGCAGACACACATCAGCGAGAAGAGAAGCGACTGAGCCCTGAGCCCAAACTCCTTTCACAAGACATTCCTACAAAATAGTTCAGTGGCTCTGGCACTGAGGGGGTGCACTTTGCTGGGAGATATTCCGAGGAAGGCGAACACCCGCCCCATCTTTTCACACATCCTGCTTTATTTCGAATACGAGACGAAAGAGTTTGTTCATTTCGTTTAACGTTTAAAAGGAAAGGCAACTTGACCGTCTCTCTGCCTCCCCAGTCAGGTCGGCCTTCACACATGATGGATCTGCAGCCCCAGGGCAAAGGGGGGTGGGGGGGGGGGGTCTCACAGCGACTACATCAGCCAGAGACATAGAGGGCATCTCTCTCTGACTGTCTCTTATTTATTCCTAATGGCTTTTTGCTGAGAGATTCTTCGGAGAGATGTACAGTGAAGACTGTGCTTATCGGGGGAACAAATGTCACACCCGGTGCAGACGCTATCAGGATTTTTTTTAACACAAATACTATGACATGGCGACAGGCAATGCATTTCAAATGGTCCGGCGTTGCAGAATTACGTGGAAAAAAAAGTGAACATTTCACGCACGCGAATTAACAACTACATATTTGTTCCCCCCCACCGTTAAAATAAACGTTTATTATTGTTCTAACGGGGGAAAGGTTTTAGTGGGAACATGTGAATAGATTGAGCCCACAGCACTTGTCCACTGAACGACAGTGGCTTTCAAGCAGCTCAGACTGTGATCTGCTGTCCTCACACTGCCTGATGGAGTCTGTCTCCCATAGAGGAGAGACAGGCAGTGAGGACTCTTATATTTATCCCTGTCTCTGGAATTTCCATGTGTAGGTGGGATGCATGGAATTCTCAGCTTGGTTTGGATACTCTTATGCCACGGTGATGGGTTTCCGACTGACCCCCCCCCCCGCCCAAAAAAAAAACAACCCATCAAATCCTTCCACACTCCTTCATCAAACACGACTCTAAATAACAGCAAATGAATTGACACTGCGAGCACACACCCAGGTACAGGCATTGACCCGCATCAGGTAGCTTCATCCAAACATATATATTAATACGTGTAATTGTACATTAATTGGACATCAATTGCACAAACAAGAAGCATACGTGTTTTTTTCCAAGTATTCATATAATTGCCTTTATACAAAAATATAAAGCTGCGGTGTTCTTTTTTTATATATGCGAATCACTTTTTAAAGAAAAAAGACTTTAATTTATTTAGTTCAATCGGTTCAAAGTCAGTTGATGTCGTGTTGCTGTGCATTTCGAAACCACGCACTTACTGTATACAGTTTGAGCCGACATTAAAGTGATCGGTTGCTGACCTATAAGGATGGATTTCATTTTTTGCCCATTATTCTTTTTAAAATGTCCCAACCGAGCCATAATATTTAACATACATTAAGCACGTTTAGTCAAAAGAGATGCCAGCGGCGCCGCACTCACTATTTTATTTACAGAGCTGCAGAGATGTCTTTCCTGAGTGTGAATTGTTTAGCAAAGTCTGTTGATACCAACAATAACACAGGGGCTCTGAAGGGCGAAGGCACGGGGAGGGGTGGGGGTGGGTGGGGGGTGGTGGGTGGTGGGTGGGGGGTGGGGGGGGGGAAACACATTGATAGGTGAACAGTTGCAAGAGATTTATCTCCAAATGCTCTGCTTTTTATTTTTTTTCCTGCATTCAACAATTCCTCCCCAAATGGATCCTTTTCAACACAACGAACTTCCCTGGTTGGTGTTTCCCCAGGGCTGGCAATTTGTGGGGGTGGGGGTGGAGGGGGTTGTTGGGGGTGTTGGGGTGGAGGGGGGGGGGGGGGTGAGACTGTTTGTAAAGGGACACTCATCCCCTGTTTGCCTGTCTCTCCGACCTGAGCCCCAGTCTCACTAACCCACAGCTCCGCTCATCTTCCTGACCCGCAAAATACACCACAATCCCAAAAGGTGATTCGAATACCTCTTGTGAGAGCTGATTGCACCTTTACATAATCATGGTCCATTATAAATTACATTATCATTCTATATTAAATTATAATATATGATACTTTCATTATTATTTATCATGCCATCACATTATCATATACCATCAGAGATTATATTATCATTATTATGGATTAGATTATTTGTATTGTATGATTAATTATACTGTTATAGGTTACATTATACACGCACGCATACATATATATTATATATAATGTATTATAGATGTGGTTCTGGCATGACAGAAAAATGAAAGTCGATTAAAACACATTGCATACTTTATAGCTTCCCTCAACTACACCCAAACACTGGGACATAACATCACTTTGTGAGGGGAGGGAGTTTGTTATTCCGATTTACTTGTCCCTAACAACTGAAATAAATAACATCTTCATAATTCCATCGAAAGCAAAAATGATTTAACTATTAATTTCCGCTCCTGAATGTAAAATATCCCCGATTGAACTCTCTCTAAATAAAAGAATATTAATCGCCAGCAAAAAGAGAGAACAAAGTTTTGAGGGGGACATCTGCCGGCGCTGTGTGGACCAGGATAGTAAGGGATAGAGATTTCACTGACTGTTTCACCACAGCGGCCCTGAGAAAACCTCTCTCTTGAACGAAAAATAAAGACAAGAATAAACGAAACCGAATGCCACCAGAAAGGAACTCAGTGTTCAGACAGAGCAGAGCTGCGGAGTAGGGGGTTGTGTGCACCTGTTTGGGGACATTGCTCATTGCCTTTTTCTCTCCTCAATCTCCACACCTCTCTCCCACTTTCTCCTTTGGTGATCCACAAACAGTGCCACAGTGGATCAGATAGACAGACAGCGCTGAGACATACAACGCTGGACTCCAATGGGTCACATAAAGCAGTCGCCTTAAAGTGCTGTCTAACACTGACTTCAGCTCTCAGTGCGGCTCAGACAGTGTCCATTATTACACCCACCACCCGCTTTGCACCCACCTTTGCTGTGATTTCCTTTCAGATACTCAACAACAAATCGATAAGACAATCTGCAAGAATAACCTGCGCTCGGAAACTTTATACCCCGTTTGCTCTGAATTATTAAAAGCCCTTGTTTCCCCTCTGCGCTCACTACAACAAAAATACCCGATCAAAACAATTCATTTAACTTAAGCTA